ATTATAAGGATCATTTATAAATTTGATTACTTGAAAAACAAATGTTTAGGGTTGGAGGCTGTGAATGGTTATTATTAGACAGAGTCAATGGTGTCGACGAGCATCTTGGATGCAAATGAGCTGCATAAAAAGTGGAATTATGCACGGGTTGCGTTTAGTGCCAGTTGAATAGAGTCGATCGAATCGTGTCAAAGCGTATCATGCAAATCAGGCATCATCGGTTCTGCCGGTGGTTTGAGTGCACTTCAAATCGATTGAATAATATCACGTGTACTTTAGTCTCAAATCCTCCTTCGTTTCCATATTATAAGTATACATATTAAGTTAGTGAGTAATATCATGTAATTATATATTAAGTTAGTGAGTAATATAATATAATTATATATTAAGTTAGTGAGTAATATAATATAATTATATATTAAGTTAGTGAGTAATATAATATAATTATATATTAAGTTAGTGAGTAATATAATATAATTATATATTAAGTTAGTGAGTAATATAATATAATTATATATTAAGTTAGTGAGTAATATAATATAATTATATATTAAGTTAGTGAGTAATATAATATAATTATATATTAAGTTAGTGAGTAATATAATATAATTATATATTAAGTTAGTGAGTAATATAATATAATTATATATTAAGTTAGTGAGTAATATAATATAATTATATATTAAGTTAGTGAGTAATATAATATAATTATATATTAAGTTAGTGAGTAATATAATATAATNTGGTGGAACCACGAAAGACTCACCTGGCACGCCGAGGTACAAAAGAATCAAAAAGGTGTTCGCCCCCCTTTCGCTGGCCGCTCAACCGAGCGTGCTCTCTCCAACAAGTCAAGACCGTTCCTCTCTCTCTCTCTCTCTTCGTTCCTTCCACTCCCATAGCTGAGGCCGCATACCTCCTCAGGATGCAGTGTAGACCTGTCCATTGGCTGGCAGACATCGGTTCTTTTTCGAAACGGCCACCGAGACTTCGTGAAACCGAGAGGACAGAAGGGACAAACGTGTTTCGGTACGCAGTTGGTGCGTGGTTCAAGTTCAGTGCGAAGCGAATATTCTATAAAGGAATTCATGTGAATCGTAATTTTGTTTTTCTTGCAAAATTCCTCAGAATTTTTTTTATTGTGATCGATGAGAATGACACGTGGAGTGACGATGAGTTGATACGGCGCTGAGAGGAGAAAGATCCTGGACCGACTTTATGAGGTAAGGTCCTTGACGTTCCTTGCTCCGTTTCGTATGATCAAAGTTCGAATTACGTTCAGAGGCTCCAGTAACAAGCCACTGTTTCGTCGAATGTTTGTCAGGAGATAATCGTTATCAAAGAAATTTACGTCAGCTCGTGTCACAATAATTTTAATGATAATTCATACGATTTGTTTAATGATTCAATTAAACAATATTAAATATAGTAATATTAATAGAGCAATATATGAAATATAGTAATATTAATAGAGCAATATATTAAATACAGTAATATTAATACAGCAATATATTAAAT